ATGGATTTGTAATTTTTCTGTTTATCAATATAACATGAAATCTTACGTTTTTCGAGTAATTAAAGTGTAAATTTTAATAAATAGTTCAAAATTATACATAATGGTTCAAATCAATTTTTCGGATTGGAGTTTTTTCATTATTAATTTGCAGTTTCTGAGAACATTTACCATAGTAGTGTATATTTTTTTATACATATATCAGAAAGTAGAGATTTCAACAAACAAAAAACACCCCAACTTTTTTAAAAAAGCAGATATTTTGACGTGAGAATTTTCGATTGAAAATAAGGGTGCTTTTTCGATATTAAGTCAAAATAAGGTGAAAAAATGAATATTTTAAATCAAAAAAATTACTATATATTTGGGACATACAAAGGTAAGTTTTCACCAAATTTCGAGAAAAAATATTTTTTTTTGCAAAAAATAAAAACTAAAAACTCGGTTATTCGCATTTTTCACATAAATTTTGAGGTTATGTGAAAAAAGTGTCGATACAAAAGTTGTAGATCTTTTTATTGCCTACAACTTTGCGATTTAACTTTTTTTCATAGGACTTGCACTTTTACCGGAAATCGAGATTAACCATTTTTTACCCTTAAAAACTCACCCCCTCCCCCTTCCCGAGCTCAGATCGCCCGTAATTTGTTTTTCCTTTCATTTTTGTTATATTCTCTACCTTTTCTAATGGGTTTCATCCTACTTGAATTTTTTTTGGTCTCAAAAATTATCGACCCTGGTCTATTATTAATTTTCGAGGAGGAAATCGTCGAGAGCAAATCTTTGAATTTTACATTTTTTGTTCGAAATTTTCAGCGTGAGCTACTGTTGTGCCTATCGCAAGGTATTTGCCCACAACAATAGTTTTTTCAAATACATACCTGTTTCTCAAATGTCTCTCAGCTCGCTTAATGGTCGTAATAGAAAATACATATTCTGCGAAAATATCAACTGTGTATGTGTACAACGGTTCACGTACGAGATAGGTACATAATATAGCCTTAGATAGCGGAAAGTTGGTAGTAGGGTTGTTTTATCCTTTTGAGGAAATAAACCAAAAAAAAACTAGCTTTAATGATTCAAGCTTAACCAAAGTTTATTCTGTATACACTTTACACATCGAGTGAATGTCACTAATAGGCAATCGTTTCAAGATTAGAATGTCATCGTAAAATATAAATACTGTTCCGTAACCATTTTATTTCGCAATTTTGTATCAGATTAATGGCTTTTAGAATGCTACCTATATCGGAAATGTCAATTACCTATGTGGAGTGTAATGCTGCTTGGATCTTTTTGACGGCAAACACGGGGTCAGTAGTCAAATCTGATATTTTTTATTGAACAGATTCGACTGCAGGCATATTAGTACAGTCATTTGGTAATTTTATCTGGAAAGTTTTCCGGGAGTTTTGAAAATTGTTTTTTTATAGAATATGAGGTGCTCTTTCCGAATTTCGACTTTGCCAAATTTATTTTTTGCCGCTCGCGCCGCAATATTGAAAAATGGCGCCTAAAATCAGTTTTTTGACAATATCTCCCTTAGGACTTATTTCACGATAAAAACAGTTATATACAAAATGAAACTAGAGACAACCTACAATTTATGTATCAACCTTTTTTTTCATAAAGTCAATAGTTTTGGCGTACGAGCGCAGCAAATTGTACTCCAACAATTGTCTCTAGTTTCATTATGTATATAATTGTTTTTATCGTAAAATTAATCGGAAAGGAGATATTGTCAAAAAACTGCTTTTGGGCGTCATATTGGAGTCGAAATTCAGAAAGAGCACCTTATTATGTATTAAATTACCAATTTTCAGAACTCCCGGAAACCTTTCTAGGTAACCGTTATATTTCTCACCAAATGACTGTACTAGACAATTTTATTTTTTTTAAATATTTTGATGATTATTTATATTCAACATAAAGAAAAAATTACTGGAAAAAATTCCACGCGGGCCAGGCAGCAGACGGGACTCGGACGAATGCACTGACCATTATGTTACCGCGGCCCTGACGGCCGTGTCGAATTTTCTCTAGCCTTTCTAAAGCTACAAGGCAGCGGCATCTCTTCCCATTGTAGGTAACCCACTTTTTCATTTTTTTCTTTAGATTTACACATTTAGCAGTTTCATGCTTAGAAAATAAAAAATAATTTTTATATTTAAGTTGAATAGAAGGCTTTAATAATAATTCAAATTGTGAAAGTGACCAAGTAGTTAATTTTTGTATTCGGTACTTATTTTCTTTATTTTGCACTTAATTTATTGAGAATAATCTAAACACATTTTATATGCATAAGCGATGTATAAATCATTTTAAATGTTTCATCCGTAGAAAACAACCAACCGAATCGATATCCGATAATTCCCTAAGATAGTTTCCGTGTGATGTGAAACTTGCATTTTAAGATATTTCCTTAAAAAATTTACTAAAACAAATCTTTGATAAAATAAATAGGATGCGTTCCGATTCGTGTAACACAAAGTAATTTTATTAAAAATGGAAAGTGACAATTGTGCCTATAAATTACTTAGTAAGTAATTTCCTACTTTATGCAACAGTCGGTGTTAAGTTATCGAAAGTAGTAAACCGCATAATTTTATCCCTTACCAATTTGCAAAGGTAAGTTACATAGGAAAATATTAAAGAAAACTTGATGCGGAAGAACGAATGTCCACTGAAATACTTAAAAGCTGACGCGAGCTGAGAGACATTTGAAAATTTTGAAAAACTATCGCTATCACGTATTGGCCAATACCATGTGATAGGGACAACAGTAGTTACGCTGAATACTGCGTATAAAAATTGCAAAATTCGAGGATTATTAGATAAAATCAGTGCATCTAAACCCCCCCCCCCCCCCCCCCCCCCGACACAGAGAGGTTCGATTCCGCTCAGTCCCCTCCCGTTCCAAGTGCACATCTGAGTGCACTTGTCTTCTAGCGCATTTTGCGTTATTTTAAACTATGCACTAGTTTAAACTAAAGCAGCGCCGCATCATCCTCCTCTCGGAGGATGATCACTTCAGATGAAGCTTGTAAGGCCCTTCTGACCATAAGCATGATTAACGGGTGTTTTTTAGTCAGTAAGAGTCTGACATAATCCTACAGCCGACTGTAGGTTATCCATGAGGATTTCTCACCCGCTCCCCCGCCTGGGAGGAAACAAAAAAAACTCATTAAAACTTGTTTCATTTAACAAAGAGGACATAATTATTTCATTACCATAATTAACAAAAATGCAGTATACGGTCATGCTGTGTTAACAGTGTAATTGTAACCGATCTACATACTCATACACACTAATTTCGGGTTTTCAGTGATGTAAGAGTGGTTTTATGACCTACTTGGATATATTTAAGCTACTTGTAGAGTTAATACAAACATTTAACTACCAAATGCTTGTTAAACCTAACATAAACATTTGAAACGACATAATAATAAAACATTACACGAGTGGAAATTACAATTTAAGCACCACTAAGTCATTACTTTTATTATGACTTGTGATATTAAGAGCCCTTTTACAAAATTGCGCCGCTGCCGTACTGATCGGCGCGTAGGTAGATTTTCACTAGTATATATTGCATTTTACGGATGATGTTTCGAGTCTTATAAAATAATTATTAATGAATTTATTATAAAACTATATACATATTTCAGTAGTTCAATGATGGAAGATTAGTAATATAAAAGTTTTTGATAGTAATTCGATTTAATTCAATATCAAAATACGAGGTAAACCTGCATTATTTTTTGGGGAAACTCACGGAGGTTAGATGTTTTTTTTTTAATAATTAATGAGATATGAGATGGAAAATCAAAATTCTGATAGATTATGTTACAACAAAAACATATTTCTGATGTAGTAGTAATTAATATGATCTAATTTATTGAACATTATTTAGAGATTGAGGCGTTTGAAGTTGTGCATATTATCGTTTTTTCCGAAAACTAGCTACGGTAGAACGATCAGTACAAAAAAAAGGAAAATAGTATTTGAAAATCTTCTACATTACCTTACAATAGGAAGAATAAATCTACTGTTTACTTTTATGGGAGATAATCAAAATCTTTTGTAAGGGGGTAAACGAGGCGCTCAAAAATTACTAATTGTAATTATTAATTGCAAAAAATATGAAAGGGCTTTTAATGTTCTAATAAAATTAAAGCAAAATAACATTGAAAGAAAATAGACTGGGAGTAAAGGACATGTTAGCTACTTTGATATGAAGATAATGAGCCAGATTATTTTAGGAAACGATTTTAAGTAACACCTGTTCAACAGTGACTTTACGACCTCCGTGGCCGAGTGGTTTATACGCCGGGTTTCATGGTGTCGCCGAATCGAGAGGTCCCAGGTTCGAATCCCGGTGGCAGATGTTTGTGTGACGAATACGAGTACTCCAGGCATATATGTTTAATATGTATTTCTATATAAATCTATGCATATAAAACTCAAAAGTGACTCACTGACTAACATAGTGATCTATCAACGCACAGCCTAAACCACTGGACGGATTGGGCTGAAATTTGGCATGCAAGTAGATATTATGACGTAGGCATCAGCTAAGAAAAAATTTTGAACAATTCTATCCCGAAGCGAAGCGAGTATTCAGTATATGTATTCTATCCGTTACCCTAGCATCCTATAACACAAGCCTTACAGTGCTTACTTTGAGGCTAGGCTAATTGATGTGTTAAAAAAAATTATAATCACTTTATTGTACACGAACAAGAAGGTAGATCCAACCAAAATCAAATTTGAAGTTTATGATATGGTTATGATGATGATGACAAATGCCTAATTAATTCTCTGCCAGAATTGCAAGGAATGTGTGGCATAAAACTGCGTACGTAATAAATTCAAAACCATTTTTTTTTAATATTTTGACTTCTATGGCTGCTACTGTTACTGCCAGATGTTAGTTAACTATCACATGATTTGTAAATTTATACTAAAATTAAATTCTTCGGATCAGAACATAAATCACTTACCTTGGATGCACTTCTACCTTCAAAACTTCATCGCCCACATTAAGATTCTCCGGTATCCTCACGAACTTCAAATATTCGCCAGCAGGATAGAAGTTGCAACCTGTAACGAACAATTAATAACAAATATTAACCCCAAACATAATAAAAGAAAAGCTTTAAATCCAATGTGAACAATAGATGATTTTCCTCCGTGGCCGAGTGGTATATACGCCGGGCTTAGATAGCGTCTCCTACTTAGAGGTCCCGGGTTTGATGCCTGGTGGCGGAAAATGTTAGTACGATGAATACGAGCATTTGTACCTTAGTCATGGATGTTTATATATATTGCTAGATAAAATATACTTATATATCTATCAGTATATGTATTCTATCCGTTACCCTAGCATCCCATAACACAAGCCTTACGGTGCTTACTTTGAGGCTATGCTAATTGGTGTGAGAAATATTTATTCGTTTATTTTATTAGTTCTTGAGATTTCGAACTATTTAGACCGGGAGCTGGTGACAGGTGACGTTTCACGATTTTGTCGTGCATGCCGTTTTAAGGCTTGATAACTAACCCTAAAATATCAATGATAGTCGGGGTTTTAGCCCTGTATAATGCCTATGGATGGAATAGGGAGATTGGGCCATGACCCACCACGCGGGCCCAGTGCGGATTGGTGGGTGCTAACGACTGCAGATGCAGCCGGGATCAACGGCTTAACGTGCCTTCCGAAGCACGGAGGAGCTCGAGATAGTAAATTTTGGTCACCCATCCAATGACCGACCACTGCGAAAGTTGCTTAACTTCAACGATCGCAGCCGAACGCGCTAACCACTTGCGCTATCAAGCTCCTCAAATAAATTTTAGTGAAGGATTTTTATGTAAGAAAAATAACATAAAGAAAACTATTTACATAATCATGTACAATAAAGTAATGAGGACTAATGAATACGAAGGTCTAACTAAATATTTAAAATTGTTTTAATTAACCATGTTGGAACAAAGCAATATGCAGGTAGCGTTACCAATGGCCCAAAGAATGAGACCAATTAATATCACGGAATACGTAACAGACAATATGGCCATTATTGTATAGCAAAACCTTTTAGTTACCAAACTAGACAATACAACTAAATTCTCCCATCTAATACAATCGGCGGTGTATAGGGCTCTTGCGAAATGAGTCCCCTCTCGAATGGACTACAAGTCCGCGGTCGCCATTCTAATGTCAGATTAGGTACGAAAAATTGCCACTTAAAAGCTTTTTGTGTACATACAAGGGAGTCTTTGCGGGCTAAAGTTTAATTAAAAGACCATTGCGTTAGTTTCTGAATTTATGCTGACTTATAATATGCCGTAACATCTCAATCGCAAAGCCAATGTATAGTAACAAAATTCTCATTTACTAATTATAGCAAACTAGCGGCCCGCCCTCGCTTTGCTTCGGTGTAGAGCTGAAGTGTAGACTACAGTTTTTGTTATCAGGCTTGTATTTTACACAATGACATTCATCTATGATTCTTCTTATACCTGCATGCAAAGTCTCAGCCCGATCGGTTTTAAATTGACAAAGTTTCATACAAACTTTCATTCCCTATTTTATCCCCTTGGGGGTACAATTGATCAAAATCCTTTTTTAACGGATGCCTACGTCATAACATCTACCTGCATGCCAAATTTCAGCCCGATCCGTCCAGTGGTTTGGGCTGTGCGTTGATAGATCACTATGTCGGTCAGTCAGTCACCTTTGAATTTTATATATATAGATTTCTGAACAAATCACACACAAGTTTTATAAGTTTCTGCAATATAATTAGTATCGATTTACGGGTTTTATTATTATTGGTAGCATTAAGATTTTTCGTTCAAACTTGTATTGTATATTGGATTTGTAAAAAATTTACGAGTTCTCTAACCAGTTGTGTTATGTTATCAATTTAGTACAGTCAATCTGTCGAAAAAAATATCGTTTCAGTGAAAAAAAAAACCTAAAGGGTAAGTCTAGTTTTTTCTGTTGCCAAATGACGTCAGTAAGCCACCATGGCGATGGGCATGTTCAACTCGTAGGCGTTTTTTGAAAAACTCAAAAAAACCGTCAAAAATTTTTTGAATCGCATTTTTCTTGTTTTGTATGCATTTTAGAAACTTTTTTTTCGACCATAATTGTAGAGGGCGTTGAGTACTACAATTTATGTCATTGTTGCAATCTCGTACAACAAAAAATGCGCATTGTAGGTGGTGCTAAAGTCTCAAAAAAGTGCTTTTTCACTTTTTCACCCTGAAAATATCATTTTAATGGAAAACTTTAAATGGCAAAGTTTTTTCGTACATAATTACCAACAACTTTTGCATTACCAATTTTTTTGTATTACTTACCGTTTTCAAGTTATAAATTGCGCAGCTATGAAAAATCCAATAGAGCGGTTTTGGGCAGTTTACGTACACATTTGCAGTGCACATTTCAATGTACATTTTACTATTTTTTATCATGATTGAAATAAATAAAAAATTGTTTTATTTTTATTTTTTTTTCATGATTGAAAAAAAATATTAAAAACGTACATTGAAATATGCACTGCAAATGTGTACTTGAACTGCCCAAAACCGCTCTATTGGATTTTTCATACCTGCGCAATTTATAACTTGAAAACGGTAAGTAATACAAAAAAATTGTTTATACAAAAGTTGTTGGTAATTATGTACGAAACAACTTTGTCATTTAAAGTTTTCCATTAAAATTATATTTTCAGGGTGAAAAAGTGAAAAAAACCCTTTTTTTGAGACTTTAGCGCCACCTACAATGCGCATTTTTTGTTGTACGAGATTGCAACAATGACATAAATTGTAGTACTCAACGACCTCTACAATTATGGTCGAAAAAAAAGTTTCTAAAATGCATACAAAACAAGAAAAATGCGTTTCAAAAAAATTTTGGACGGTTTTTTTGAGTTTTTCAAAAAACGCCTACGAGTTGAACATGCCCATCGCCAAGTTGGCATACTGACGTCATTTGGCAACAGAAAAAACAAGACTTACCCTTTAGGTTTTTTTTTCACCACTCAACCTACAGATTGACTGTACTAATTGATATAAAGTTATTTTTGAATGATTTCATTGAAATAAATCAATACATGTATTTTTATTCGACACAGATACCGCTTTAATAGTTTCTCGGATTACCTAATTTGAAGAGCTCGATGGCGCAGGTGCTTAGCGCGTTCGGCTGCGATCGTTGTAGTTAAGCAACTTTCGCAGTGGTCGGTCATTGGATGGGTGACCAGAAATTTCTATCTCGAGTTCCTCCGTGCTTCGGAAGGCACGTTTAGCCGTTCGTCCCGGTTCTATCTGCAGTCGTTAGCACCCGCCAATCCGCACTGGGCCCGCGGTGTGGGTCTTGGCTCAATCTCCCTATTCCATCCATAGGGAAGGCCTTTGCCCCAGCAGTGGGGACATTAAAAGGCTGATAATGATGATGATGATAATTACCAAATTAGTTTTGGAGATTGCTGATCATTATCAGCTTTTAGGGTTCCTTAGTTCTGACAAGGAACCCTTATAGTTTCGTCATGTCCGTATACATGTCTGTCTGTCCATCCGTCTGAGGTTTTCCTTGGAGACTGTTTGCACTAAAGAGCTTTGTGGAGGTATGTATCACGCCTACATAGTGGCAGAATAAAATTTTGAAAAATATTTTTTTTTAAGTTTATTAAATAGTTATATATTTTTTTTAGATTTCGTTTTCAATTCAAGGTTTTATGCGTTATATATATACAAGAATTAACTTCATCTGACAAACTTTTTATTAAGATAAGATTAAACATTATAAATAAAATTTAGGTATGACATTTTTTAATACATTAGTTGATGTATGATTTTTTCTTAAAAGTTCATAGATAATACTATCATCATCATCATCAATCCATGTTCGTCCACTGCTGGACATAGACCTAATACTATTGTCATGAATATTTCTAGATTTTTTTAAACCTATATTTTCGCTTTTAGGGGAAGGGGGCGGCGTCGTACTCAAACAAAATTTGCACTTTAAAGATCAATATTTCCCAAACGGATACCTAAATCTAAAAATAGTTTTAGCAACTTTTAAATAATCTTAAAGAACCTTTTCAATGATACAACATACAATGAAAAATCATCCCCAGGTTACATAGTAGGGGAGCTATCAAAAATAAATTGTTTTTTCAAAATTTTATTATACCGTTTTGTCGGCGTGATTGATTTACACGTCTCCACAAAATTACAACTCTCTAGTACTAATAGTCTCCAAGTAAAACTGGGGACGGACAGACGGACATGACGAAACTATAAGGGATTCTTGTCAGGACTACGGAACTCTAAACACAGGCACTTTAGATTTTTCTCTATTTCGATGAATATTTTAAGAAAGAGGTTTTATTAATTTGATATTTGAAGCATCCTGACATGATTCTATACGTCCAAATTTAAATTCTGCGGACAACTCCACGAAATGCAGACAGCATGCAGCACGTCATAGATTCCAAAGGTTTCTACCAGGGAAATATATATTCACGAATATTCTAGAAGCCATCTTCACATACTTACCATTATAATTTAGCAGCTTGTTCGTTCTAAAGTAACGAGTAACATCCATTTAATTGCAAGGAAGTAACAGTCAAAAGTTATTGTCATTCAATAAAAGTTATGCAATAGCATTCAAATGTCAACAGTTAAAACATGTAATGACTTAAATTTGTCTTCTTTACTTGATATTACACATTAGGTAACTACAGTGTGTAATATTTTCTCAATCGATTGTAAATATTTTCACAAGCATGATAAAGCATAAAATCGCTTTTAGGCATTTTAATTTTTTTAATCTATGACCTTCTTATTAATAAATGAAGAATAAGCTTGGATTACTTAATCCATATTTTTTCTCTGATCATTTAATGACAAATAGCATTTGCCTGATAGGAACAGAACACGGTGTAATTAGTCTAACTTATACCTCGTTTATTTATAATAGTGATACTGTCTTAAAGTGAAAATTTGTTCTTCATTAAAGGTTCGTTCATAACAAATTTGTTGTACTGGTAACAACAATATCTATCTGTGCTTATCTATCGTGCTTTTTT